TCCGTAATATGTAAAAATCTCGCGGTACGCTTTTCTAGAAAAAACGATCAAAGTTTGATATGTAGTGATAGTCGAGAAAATATTATATTTGTAGATATATTATTATTGTAGAAATATTATTTTTTATAGCAATAATGAATGTCTGTCTTTCATTTAAAACTAGTTTTTTGGATAGTGCTTTTGATCAGTCTTACAATAGCAGTGCAATTCGCTTGCATCTCTATGCATGATCTTTAGATAGTAAACGATTGACGCCAAACGGTTTCTCTTGATTTGGGATAATTTTAATTTCTTCAACTGATTTTGTTGTTGTTATTGAGATGGATAATTCTTGTGCATCTACAGGAAAATGATAGAGTTCCATCTTTTCCCAAAAAACTCCTCGAATTTTGTGACTTTCTGTCACTTCACAAGCACTATTTCCATTACGATGGTTTATCGTATACCATATATCGGCATGTCCAAACGTAACGGCGTTACGTTTTGGACGCACTAAAATGAAATTATCTCGGAAACTAAAATAGTTAAAAAGCTCATTTAAACGCTATTCGATGCAGCTCGTCGACCCCCATTTACGGTATAAAAATGAAATTTTTGGATGAAGTCTGGATTTTTGAGAACGGTTTTTGTAGGCCGTAACGGCGTTACGAAAAACACGAAAGACATTCTGTTACACACACTGAGAAATGATTTATTGCGGTAAAGTACCGTAAAAGTATTAACATTGTATTTAATTTTCGTATGATGTTATGAAAGTCAAAAAATATCGCATTAGTTTATTTTGAAAAGAATTTTTCTGACAACGTGTGATTTCAGTTTGAAAAAAAGAGTTTTTAAAAAACAGATGAAGTTTTAAAAAAATTTTAAGGTAGGAAAAGGACGAAGGGAAAAGCTTTTGTTATTTAGTAGCGAAACCTTTATGTATTCTTAATTGTCTTAAAATTAAAATAGCTTTTATTAGCCGTGTTTGACTCGGTCCGTTCGGACCGCACCATAGAAAAAGTTTAAACAAATCGTATTTCCGCTGTGAACTTAGTTAGTACAAAAAATCAGAAAACTAACACAGAAACTCTTGCCAAATTTGACGATAAATTTAGCCTATCAAAAGTTTTCGACATAGAGAAATGTTCTACTACCCATTCAGAAAGGAAAGGATGCGACACGAAAACTGAACAAACTTGTTTACTCAATAAACTGCGAAGGTTGTGGTAAAAAGTATATTGGAGAAACAGATCGAGAAAAAACTACTAGAATGGCGGAACATGAAGCTGATATTCGTAAAGATAAAGCTACTTCTCAAATTGCCCAACATTGTAATGCAAACGGACATTCTATGGACTTTAGAAATCGCGAAGTTTTAGCACCAGAATCTCTTTGGAAAAGAAGAGTCATAAAAGAAAGTCTTTTCACACATTTCTCTCAAGGAAAAGCATTGAATGAAGTTAAGTACAAATTGAAAGTCTTTGGCTAAAACAATGTTCTTCGAACAAAAAAGAAACTTCTTTTTATCTTTTCTGTTGTAGAATGATATAGAAAATTCCTGTTCTTACGTTTACTACTATATATATATTTCTCTCTTTCTTTTGGCACTTTGTAACAATCTTTATTGTCTGATGATGGCAAGAGAACTTGTAGAAATATCACAATAAAATAAATTTGATCAAAGTATTAATCATGTTCTGTGCAGTTTTGTACTTTCTCTACAAGTATAGTGGTACCATTAGATTCAACTCTGTGTGCAACATTAATATTAGTGAATATGTCTGCTGCATTCAAAATTTTGTTTCTGTAGGCTCTCACATTTGTTTTTTAAGTTTTGCTAAACGAAATTTTCTCTGCTTCTATAAATACAGGTACTTGACATAGTTACTACAGAACATAAAGAAGAGTTCTGCGTACAACCGCAAAAATCTACCTTTACTGTAAGAGGGCCTTCATAGTTGCCGCTACGGTCTCTTATTAATGTGAATCAGTTTTAATAGCAAAACTTCGTTTTGTCAATTTTGTATTAAAAACATGCGACCTTACTAAACTACAAGTAGCCTAAAATGTCCAAGTTATAATCACATATCTCATCTGTAGGAGACCTTTCAGCTTCATTTCCCATCTAAACAAAACTAAGTTCTTTTGTGATTTGGATGTATGTTTTTTCAGATAATACGTCAAAACCAATCATGACAATAAAACTTTCTTTCAAGCAACTCAGTAGTGGGCAAGTAATCGCAGCTGAGATTAGAGAAAACTTTTCCGTGAACGGATTTGTTGATCTAATAGAAAGAAACATTGGTAACCATAATGATTATCGATTTGCTGTTTCCGGCAAGCAATTAGACTTAACTAATGAATATGAACTAAAGCAGTTCATACGGAATCATGTTACGATATCCAATGCACGATCGACCAATGCATCTAGTTGCTGTTGAAAAGCATGAAAGTACGTGGAAATTCAATGGGAAGCTGATCGAAGCATCTAGCATTCATTCCAGAAGTCTTACTGAATTTCGAGTTTAACAAGTAGGAAAATACTTTTCTAAAGAAAGGTGCCGGTAATACAAAATTACAACAGAAATGTTTTTTCGCTTTTTTCGGCATGGTTGGATAGAGCTCATCGAGTTGCATCGGGAAAACACAAGTCATTTTTACATGAAAATATTTAAAAATACCCATTTTTCGAGAACAAGCAAAGTTTTCATATTTATTGTTTTTCTAAAATTGCAAAACTATCTTTTTCTGATTACCCATTGAAAACTGAGTTTCTAAATTTTAAAGTTAAAACTAACAACCAAATTCACGGAACAGCAGCAGAATCGCAGCTACCCTACTGTCAAATTTGTAAACGTATGTAGTTTTATCCATCGTAACACTAACCATTAATGATTATTTCCTTCTAATCATTATACTTGTAGGAAAAAAAGTATGGGAAGCTTTTTCTAAAATTTTGTTTCGTTCCTGAGAAAAATCATTTTTTCTAAATCAGAGGCGAAAAGGTCGGAATTCTACCCGTAATTCTCAATTTTCGTCATCAGAACTCAACTTTTATGCAATAAAAATATTATATTCGAAATCAGGGATCCAATGATAAAAAATAATATTTCTACAATAATAATATATCTACAAATATAATATTTTCTCGACTATCACTACATATCAAACTTTGATCGTTTTTTCTAGAAAAGCGTACCGCGAGATTTTTACATATTACGGA